GGTTTATGACGTGAATTGTTTTTTAAAAAGGGAATCTAACGAATTAATTGATTCTTTGAAACAAATCCAAAGTGAGATTGACGAAGCTACAAATACTTTGTTCAGTCATTCGGACAGCAACATTGTAAATTTGAGCCAGATAAAACAAACTGCCGAAATCATTAAGGCAATAAACATAAAATTTAATAGTATAAGCAGCGAATTAGGTAAAATCGTTATTTAGGTAATCATTTATCAAAGTGGCATGTAATGTATTGCGTGCGCGATAGTACACATGCGCAGCAATCCCCTCCACGTATCGGCCAGCGCTAGACTTACGTGCCGCTGCCTATATTAAGATTCAAAATTAAAAAGATACAATTATTTAATCACTAAACAGAGCTTTACCAATATTAGGCTTAAAGAAATCTTGTTCCATTTCGACGTGCTTGACAACCGTGTATCTGTGTTGATAGAAATCGAAATTTTCTCCCAGCTGAGAGCTATTCATAGTGACGGTGTATCTGTAAAAAATATAAATAAATACTTGCAGAAGTATAAACATACACAACAGGGAATCTTTTATAAATAAGAGCATTTAAATGTTTATTTATCGAATGAATCCTTTAATTCTGTTGCATGATATTTAAATTAATATAAGGTTATCTATAACAAAATCTCTTCCACAGTCATTATCTTCATCGTGGTTCCAAGTCCTACAATTCACACCCGTACAGCACAAATACATTTCTTTCTCACGGCTAATGGTCTGGTCAGATTGCGGACGGGGCGGGATGGCTACGCGACGCTAGCGTGGCGGCGACGCGGCGTGGATGTCAAACTGCGGACGTGATGATCCTGCAAGCGTCGCGTCGGCCGACCCGCCACACTCGGCGTGAATTCAGTGTTCCCAAACCAAAGGATTTCCCCCTTGATTTAGAGGTTTCTCAACCGAGTTAGGAGCAGAATAGGGGGAAAGAATATTTGGGGTTTTTTTAGGGGAAATTTGAAAAACACGCCAAATACAGTTTTTTTGCTATTGTACGTAGTTGGTCCCAAAGTTCTGTCACTAGCACATTATTTCTACATTTCGAGCAGGATTTTATAAAAAAATTATTGCATTCTATTTTGGAATGTTTGATTATTGTTTTAAAACAAAATACAATAACTTTCCGTAATTTTTCACGATGGAGTGGACATTGAAAGTAAACCGAATAGTTGTTATTGCGTTGCACCGCTGTGGACACTCGCCGAGTACCATTTTCAAGTTGCTCAAAAATTTGAATATAACGCTTAGGTTTGTGTACGGTACTATTGATAGGTACCTTGAAGTCTCCAGTGTTGAGGACAAGAAAAGAACTGGCTGGCCACGCTCCGCAAGAACACCAGCAGTAATCAAAGCTATCAAGGCGCGGATAGTAAGAAATCCTGTCCGTAAACAGAAGTTGATGGATTTGCAGATGGGTGTCAGTAGGAAAACAGTAAAAAAGGTTTTAAATGAAGATCTTGGTCTACGAGCATACAAAAAAAGAGTGGGCACTTACTTAATGCTCGTCTAAAAGCAATAAGGCTTAAGAGATCGCGGGTGTTGTTTAAGCGGTACGCGAAAAACCGACACCGTGATATCCTCTTTACGGACGAAAAATTTTTCGATATTGAAGAGAAGTACAATAAACAGAATTATACAGTGTACGCTAGGAGTTCTGAAGAAGCTGAAAATAAAGTTCCAAGGGTGCAACATGGACATCATCCATCATCAGTAATGGTTTGGTTGGGAGTGTCCTATTACGGGCTAACTGAGGTTAATTTTTTTCGAAAAGGGGTCAAAACCAGTGCTACAGTGTACCAAGAGACGGTTTTGTATCGCCTTGTCAAAGACATGTCCAGCACCCTATTTGCGGGACATCACTTCGTGTTCCAGCAGGACTCTGCGTCTGCATACAAAGTTAAGACCACTAAAGCCTGGTTTGAGCGTCAAAACATCGTCTTAATTAGACATGAGGATTGGCCTTCCTCCAGTCCGGACCTTAATCCTTTGGACCAGAAATGATGACAGGGCTTAGAGAGGAAGGTCTGTGATAAACCTCATGAAAATTTGGAGAATCTGAAGTCATCTTTAAAAAAACCAGTGACTGAAATCGACACGAATATGGTGCGTGCTGCGATAGACGATTGGCCGCGACGCTTAAGGGCCTGTATTAAAAATGAGGGAGGTTATTTCGAATATTTTTATGCTTTTTTTATTCCTTAATTAATGTACTAAGAATTGATATATCACTCATTACAAACTGATCAGTACTTTTGTTTTTATCATTATTTCCATTTATGACAGAACTTTGGGACCGACTACGTATATAACGTTCCTGATTGTGGAACTAAATTGAAGTACGAACACATCGTAATCATAGGATCCGTGTGGTTAACCTTACTAACTGTATGTTCGTTAGAGCTGTCAAAGAACTAAGTGATTTTAATTAACTATAAATTCTAAAATTACATGAAAATTCAGTAATAACACTAGACAAGAATTATTATTTTTTTGTATTTAAAGGCAGGGGATTTCTGGGGGAAATCAAATTAGATATGTTATTATTATTATATGATTATTATTGATTTATTAATTATTTATTTTGATTATTTAAACACTTTCGATGAGTTTTTTAACTTTTTCCATGTCCATTTTTGTAGACGAATACAAAGCTGTCATCACTGTCTGTTTGACTAGACTACAACGAATACACAGTTGCGTCGCGCTCACGCTCAGTTCGCGCCCCGTCCCGCCGTACTTTTGTTGTATTATATGTTGTATATATGACATGTCCTATATTAATAATTAATATATTAATAATTCATATAGGACATGTCACGGGACGTGAACAGTTGTAATGTACTAATAATTAGTACATTACAACTGTCCCGTCGCCGTCCCGCCCCATCCGCTGTTTGACCAAACCTTAATTGTTTTAGGTGACAAACCTTTATGCCTACAAACGTAAAACAATTATTTAAAAAAAGTTCTAAAAATAAGTGTCTCACTGGATTGGCACTGTGTTCCCGGCTGTTGTGCGTGTCAGAAGCAGTTCATGTCGGGCTGTGAGCCTCTCCTTCTTTGCTGCGCCTAATTCTCCCTCTGCGCCTGCAACTGTACGCCCCCATCGCTCTACTGGTACAGCTTTATTTACTTCTTCTACGTAGCCTATAAATATAAGTTAGAGAGAATTAGAATTGCCACTAAACGAATCTTTTGGTAAAAAATAACATAACCCGTTGTATCCTACATTGTCTACTATTTCTCTTAGAGAGGAGGCAAACCGAATCAGTTCATGTATTTTTATTATAAATATTTAATCTGAAATGGAAAATAGCTGGGGATTGTTTAGCGTCTACGAATGATGGCAACAACTAGATTACTGAACCTTCATATGAAATACCTTCGAATTGGAACAGTGTTATGTCTGGGAGCCCTGGTGGGATACGGTCGGTCGGGGTAGCAGGGCTTGGCTCGGCGCGGGCGCAGCGACGAACGTTACCCTCACTTGATCTATCTACAAGTACCTGCAAGTTATTATTACACCTTATTATATTGTACATTTTAATATTGAATGCTCATAAGAATGATGAGTATCAAAATACCTCAAAGCGTTCCACCTTTCCCTCAGTGGAGAAGGTACGATAGGTGGCACTTGAACCACCGTGAAACTCTATGCGAGCTGCTTTGCTGCCGCCGTCAAACCTGCACATTTCATATATAGAGATATATTCCCTACGTATATAGGAAAATGCGCAATCTTTTCTTGCAATACTTCGATGAAAATACAGCCTCATCAGAAAGTGAAGAAGCATTAGAATATCAGAAACATTAAATTATTGAAAAAAGCAAAAAATATTAGCTTAATTATGGGAACTTTACTTACCAGAGCTTATAGCGTTCGGTGTAGTCAGAACTTGGGACTATAAGCTCAGCCTCAATTTGAAGAGAACTGGAGAAGGTAGGTTTTTGCGGAGAAGAAACTGGGGCCGCCTGAGATGGTTGGTGGGCCTCAGGGGCTTGGGGTGATGGTCCGGCGTCCACCTGCCGTACTGTCTGGTCGTGTGCTGATAGCAATAAAGGCGGCAGATATGGTGCTCTTGGAGTCTGCGACAGGAATAACTGCACGAGCTCCTCGGACGTGACTAATAAGAAAATGATTTAGAGTATAATTGCATATTAATATTTACATTATATGTATTTGAATTAATTATTTCATAAAATTATTCACATAACTTACAGTTGGTCGTTAGCGGCAGGATGTTGATGCCTTGGTCGATTTCCTTTGCTTCCACGAAGCCAGGGAACTCCAGTGGCACGGGCTTGGGTATATCATGGGTTGGTGCTGTTTTTAAGACATAATGTCTAAATTAAATATAAACCCTCAAAATATTATGTGACTAGCTGACCCGCCGAACTTCGTTCCACCTTACACCTTATCGTGTTAACTTTAGGTAAGCTTATTTTAGGATTCCATTAAGGTTAACATTAATGCAACTTTTTTTTTGCAAATACAGAAATGTTTTATTGTGTAATATAGTGCCATTGCAAAAGAAGAATGGCAGTTTTACACATAAGGCCTCTTCTCTCTAGCGCCTTTATTGCGATGCTGCTTGTTAAAGCACTTTCTTATATACAACATTTATTGATGAGGTAGCACATGTCTTCGATCAAGATTAAATCCTGGTTATCACATTAAGTGCTCTTTACTCGGATCCGAGTGGTGAGGGGAAATGTAACGATGCCGCTCACTCGGCTCCGTGCAAGCGTTCCGTTCATTTTGTTTTAGCAACAAAACCGCCTTGTTTTGCGTGGCCATTCTAGCAATATAGTCAACTTACGAAAATGAGTATTGGTTTCATTCTAACAGTGTAGTGGTGATTTGTTTACACGATAGAAAGGAAGCTATTGTTGTGCCAAAATAAACAATAATAAGGTTTGGCCACCCACTAGTAAAATTTAACTGATTATTTCAACATCTATTGCTTAAAAAATGCGTCAACATAGTGATGATTATGACTCGGAAGGGTCTGAAGAATATAGTGATGAAGAAGTGTATTCGCAAGGAGCTCATGAAGAGGAGTTATCTTCAAGTTCAGAAGGAACTGGTGGCAGTGATTTACGCATTTTTAACTTCGATCGAATACAAGATCGAAGTCGAAGACGACCAGTCGTAGACCACGCGCTGGTGATATACCAGCTCAACCTTCAAGGAAACAAGCATCAAAGCCAGGTTTGAGTGAGTCAGGCGGTAGCCCTGTGCGTTTTCCAATTACAGAGCTATTATGCTCAGTGCCGCACAATGCTGAAGCTTAATTGGAACGTGAATTAGTTTTCAAATGCATCCGCAGGGTACGCTAAGTCAGTGTTGAAAAAAAAATGTTCAATAGAGTTAGCAACCTCATTAATGTATAAATAATGTGGTAAACAATAATAATTGGTTGAAAACTTTTTACGCTTTTTTTAATAATCAAATTATTTCATTAACATTTTTTTACTGAAATAAGAGAAAACCTTTAAAGAATATAAGGTTTTAACAAGCTAAATTAACAGTAAAATATTTAGTTTCATGTAAGAAGTTTACATCATTTACGTTTTGAGTAAATTTTTTTAATGATTTCTAAAAAAATTATATACTTTTTCAAAACCATTGCAATGTTTACAAAAGTATAATCCTGTAAAATAAATTTGTTTACAGATCCGAATTTTAAAATAAAATTGTATTCATATTTTAAATGTGGAATATAAAAAAAGTAATTATTTACTTATATTTTTTTTAGCAGTTTGAAATAACTTTAATTATTTTCAAAATCTACGACGAAACGAAAGCCTTACAAATTTTTCAACAATAAATTACTAACGAAAATTTCGATAAATGCCAACTTAAAGAAAAACACTGGTCAATTTTCTGTCACTGTGTTGGTATTGATTGCGAGAAGCACACGAGAGCATTCGTTTTGAGAGTGCTCAATTGAGCATTATGCCGCATAATGCGCTCTAGTGCTGTAATTGGAAACCGCACACTATTATTCGAACTAAGCGATTGAAAGCTATGTTTAGTGATGGCCGCAAGAGAGCGAATATATACCAGGTATATACGCGTCAAACATCAGCTCAATCTTCAACGTTACCAGATTCAGATATTGGTTTCTCACCATCGAGGCATGCGCCTCGGCAACTAGAATTTGACAGTCGTGGTAATTATGAGTTCATTACGAAATTGATGGTCGTTCATCGTAATCTATCGTACAAGATAATGAGACCTACTGCCTGATATACCAGAGAATCTATTCGCGGATAACATTTCTACGCCTAGCGTGTCGCTTCTGAGATCTAATACGATCACTCCGTACTTGTCGCCAGAGCATAATGACGCCCCTCCGGCTTTGTCCGTTCTGAGATCTCAAAGTAGCACTCCCGACTTACCAAGCGATAACGATGATGCCCCATTACCTCAAAACTCACGCAATAACTCACCTTCTCATCACGGAACTAATACCACCTGGAGCAGTAATCCAATTTCAATGAAAACTATTGACTTTACCAAGAAACAAGAACTCTTACGTGCCATCAGATCCTTACGATGCATTATCATTGATGATGATTTATTAGATCTGATTGTTCGAGAGACAAATTCAAATGCAGTTAGAGTGGGTGTTCAGATAATGTAAAGCGAAACTCACGAATTAACAATTGGAATTATTTAACTAGAGAAGAACTGATGATTTTTCTCGGACTCCTCCTACACACTGGAAATATTCGACTAAACCTGGAAACGGCACTTTTTATTTAATATTCCACGCTTCAAACAGTTTCTGTGTGTCTCCTGTGTGTGTGTCCTATGTATGTATCCTGTGTATGTGTTACTGTAAAAGCTCGAACTGCAGTAAATCCTAAAATATTCCAGTAAAACCAATTCCTACCAATTCCTAATGGTAAATGTTCCAAAAGTTTTGCGATTCGAACTCTTACCACCATTCCGTTGGTAAATCTTAGGATTTACATTAAATATGGCACGGTAAATGTTGAAAAACAAAACATGACTAGCTTATGTAAGCATTATGTTTGTATTTCGTTGTTAAATTCCAAATAGAGAACTACTGATTCAGTTAGATACTCGTAGATATGATAGAGATTGAGATATTCAGAGATATATACGTTATGTGTTTTTTCAAAATAATTTAAATAAGTTGGTATTAGTTTGTACTTATTACTATCATATGATACCTTTATAATACAATGTACCTGTTTTGTCTAATAGTTCATTAAAGTAAATACATAATTAAGAATTACTCATTGTTTTATTCCTAAAACCAACATCTACCAACTGACAGTGGTAAAACCTAGCATATACTGAATTCGAATGGTAAAAAATCGAAAAAATCGTCATATTTTCAGAAATACTTACATTTACCAACTCGGCACGGTAAATCCTAAGACTTACACTTAAATTTTAAGATTAACCGTAGTTCGAGCTTTTACATATGTATGGACTGTGTGTCATATGTTACAAGATTTTGGTCAAGGAAAGTAAAATGAGTTAAAAACTCGTTCTGATTACTTTCCTTAGATGATTTTAATCAAGACCCTGGAATTTCATTAAAAAAAAACACGGGTTTGTCAAAATATTGTGACTATAAGTACCTACGCAAAAACGCACTCGCGGAACAAATATCTATGATATTAGTGAATAAACCATTGCCATCCCTAGCTCTCGGATCCGAGTATTCGGCACCTGACGTTCTGTATGCCGATTACTCGGATCCGAAATATGTTTTTTTTTAAATAAAAATAAGAATAATATACATTCATACATATTTTCCAACATTCATATTTATTTAATCAAAATTGGCCATAAAAAGTTTTGGTTTCCAGCTATTATTTTGCATCCATTGTTAAAGCATTCAATGTGTCAATCTCATTCACTTCAAGATCGGAATTTCTTGAACTGACACGAAATCGATGTAAAATGATGCGTAGTTTCACACCACATGCTGTTTGCATTCGATATTTTATTACTTATTCTGCTTCTCGGAGCGGAGAAGAATCCACCAAAAAATAGATAACTAACATCGGTCCAGCCGATCTTGCGTTACGAGTATAAGTGGTGTAACTAACACGACTTTGTTTGAATATTATGTGATATAAGTTTCCTTACGTGGTGGGTGAGTTCGGTCGATTTCTTCAGGATCTTCATAATCAGGGTCTAGCTGGGGTGTGTGATCTACAAGGGCTGCTTTTTCAGATATTTGGCGGTGGATGGGTGTCTGCAGTGCAGGTGCTCTACACTCTGAAAGAAGCAAAAGATGTAAGCAGATTAAGACATCCTATAGGAAACCTTTTCGCTACTCAACTTCAAAATTGTACAACGAAACGAAACTTTTAATTGATACTTAATAGCAATAGGCAGAAGGCGGCTTTTGAGACCGCCACACCACATCAAAGACAACGCAAACCAAACGCACTTTCTCCGCTCAACGTTTTCTCCTTCCGAAACCCTTTCATCTTCCACCACTGTCTTAAAAACAAAATTATCACTAACATTTCAAAATTCACATTACATACATCGACTAAAAATCTCAAACAACATCTTGTCAACCTGTGCTATGCTGATGCAGAAAATATTCTTATTGTGCAAGAATAGTTCAATTATACATTTGTGTTATGTAGTAATCATAAAGTATAGTTAACAGGTGAAAAGGAAGAGACTGGCTGCCCAAAATACACGGAATCCCGGTGTGGGGGTACACTTTAATTACTTAAATATTTATGTTATTGCGTATAATAAAGTTTTTTCTTTCTTTTTAGATTATTTGCGGTACCTTAAGCGTTTCATAGTCGTTCCTTTTTAACTTTTGTCGCTGTGACTTAAGTACACTGCTTATAATTACGCTGCTATTTAATGAGAGAAAAGTATTTACCAGATTGCATAGGCACAGGCACTGGCAGCAACACAACTGGTATCGACCCTGCTGATGCCTTTGCTGTAACAAACATGCGTTTATTAACTTCATGTTACTGAATTGTTATCCAATTATACTCGAACCACTTACGTATAGGGATATTTATGCTAATGGGATTTAGAAACCATGGTGGCACTGCAGGCGATGTAGTTGCGTCAGCAAGAAACCCTGGAAATCGATTAAGAATATAATAAAAACATTGAAATTCCCAGTACCTAACTGAATAATATTATATAATATATAATTCGGTATTTGATTAATATGTATAAAATTATATACCTAACTAAAACTTGAATTTTAAGATAAGGAACTAACCATTATAATTTAAAGTTATTGTAAACTGGTTTTTGAAATTTGAAACTCATTACTTTTAAAACACATACAAACAAACCTGTGGGCTGAACCGTTGCGGAAACTGCTAAATTTTTTTGTAAAGATACTGTTCTATCTGTCAAGTCTAGTGAGCTCTCTCTGGCGCTGCTCTGCTCAGCAGTAATCCTAATCCTAGCGGCAGGCTTTTGCGTCCTAAGACGGAGACTAACTCCATCAACGGAGACACAAGCATACACGCACACTGTAACAAAATATATAATAAATTATAAAAAGCAAGTGAATTGAAAACCATGTTTGAGTTCGATGCTAGTATTAGATTTATCGAGAAAGCACATTAGCCAATCTTTACATAAAATTGTACGGTGTTTTTAAATATTCCATGCTATATATATATATATAGCTAGAATACCTACAACACAAACTAAGAAAACTCGTTCACTTATATGATTTATATAACTAATAATTATATCATAAAACTCGAAAATAGAAATCGGTAAAGCATCAATGTGACTAACATTCTTTCCTCCTTCCTCATTATAATAAATAAGATATAATATGGATAATAAATTTCAAATTTACATATAATATTGTTTGTATTTTGTATCTAAATGTAAATGCCAACTAATCGTTATAAATATTCATTGGAAATAGAGTTTAACACAGTCAGGAATTAATGTTGGTCTACATTGACATATCAACGTTATTTTATAACACTTTCTTAATATAGATACACAAAAAAAGTCTATTGATTGCATTATGTTTTAAAAGCTCTAACCAAAACAGCCGCTGACCGCATAAAAGCTCTCAAGGCGATAAGGTTACATATTTCAATGTCACAATCTAAATGTCATCACAAATAAAAATGTAGCGAACTGACCTTGCAATATTTTAAGTGCGATATCTTCGTAACAAAAACGCACGGTCATAAATTATGAAAAGCTTCCGCAGTTTTACTAAGCTTTAGCAGATCTAAAAAATCTTCCCGTTAGCGATTAGGTATTTAAAAAATTAATATCTTTTTAGCCTTTATCACATTATCAATTAAAGGCTTTGATACAAAATATTTGTACAACCGCTTTTGTTATAGTAAAATTGCGTTATAATAAAATATTACCGCTATATTTAAATTATTATCTATATATATTTGCTCAAGATAGAGAGAGAGGTGGAGTCAGTTGGAGGAGGCCTATACTACGAGATTCTTGGAAAAAAAATCTGTATAAAATTTTAAGTGTGTGTGTATCTTTTATAAACATTCATGTTTTAAGGAATAAATGAGGCTTAATTATAATTATACATATTTTTTTATACTTGATTGTAGATAAAATGTATAAAAAAAATTGTATTTTTTGCAAGCAAGTTATTATAAATAGAAAAAAGGTAGATGCAATAAATTATTGACTAACTATCATATATATATAATAACATCATTAAAGTAAAATTAAATTTAATAAATCAAAATATCATCTTTTACTAATATAATATGTTCGTAGCAACGAATATATAATTATATTATTAGAACCAAAAATTAAGGTCTACATATTTGACAAAATTTAAATTAATTAAATGATTATATTTATACCTAGTCTGGTCATAAATACTATTACATAAAAACTTTTCTTTCTTTCAACTTATTATTTTATATTTGAAACACGTGAATTATTTTAAAAACTACTTTCGATTTTGCTCCATTTCACATATTTTTTCGTGTTCATTATCAAATTACAATATGGAATGGGTTGTTAAAGAAAATAGGGTTACAGTGATCGCCTTGAATAACGTGGGTATAGAGCCGTCAGTCATATTCCAGACACTCCAAAAGCTTGGTATCAGCCTTATGTTCGTATATCGTACTATCAACAGATACAACAACACTTCGTCCGTGGAAGAACAGAAAAATACGGGGCGACCGCGTGCTGTTAAAACTACAAAGGCTGTTAAAGCCAGAATTCGTCGAAACCTCATTATGAAGCAAAAAATCTTATCGCGAGAAATGAAGATTCCCGCTAGAACTCTGTCGCGTATTATAAAACATGACCTGACATGCCCTAAATCAATCTTAATAATTAAAGAGATTGGATCGATCAAAGCGCCTTCTGTCGCAATACGCAGGTGAAAAGCACAGAAATATCCGCCTTACCGTTGAAAGAATTTTCACGATTAAAGAACACTACAATAAGCAAAATGATAAAGTGTACGCTCAAAGTACTAAAAAAGCTGCTCAAGTGGTCATCATACAGCGCCAGTGATGGTTTGGTGGGGAGAGTATCAAGGAGTCACAAAACAATTTTTTTGAGAAAAAGGAGTGAAAACTTCAGCCAAAGTGTATCAAGACTGTATGTCTTGGATCATATTGTGAAACCTCTCAGCAATACACTTTTAAAAAATATACCGTGGACTTTCCAGCAGGATTCTGCATCTGGTCACAAGGCTCGCACCACTCAAGCCTGGCTTGAAACCAACGTTCCGGGCTTTATAAGAGCTGAATACTGGCCCTCATCTAGCCCTTTCGACTTCAAATTATGGTCAGTTTTAGAGGACATGGCCTGCTCTATACGACACGGCGACATTGATTCTCTTAAAAAATCTTTGGATCAAGCAGTGGCGAAATTTTCCTTGGAAACAGTGCGTAAATCCATAGATTCGTGTCTATACAGATTAAAGGTCTGTATAAAAGCCAAAGGTGGCCATTTCGAACAGATACTAATTTTTTCTGATACTTTAATAAATATGTTAGTATAAATTTTTATAATATTACATTACTTCATTTAAAAAAATGCATTTTTATTGTAACAGAACTCATGGCTGGACTAGGTATATATTGTTTCGCAATTAAAATGTAGGAATTTTATCTTTCCCTAATTAATAAAACACCAAGTGTATTTTATTAATTATATTGTATGAGGCTTTAAAAGTGATTACGTATCGACAGATGTTGTTACAGAGGAAACAGGTTTGTTCTTCTAATTTCCGAGCTATGCTTAAGGAAAAACCATTAAAAAAATGATGATGATGGTCAGTTTTGATTAAAATCTTAAACATAAACGACTGTCTAGCAAGACTGAAAAACTTAGACCCATTTTGCTAAACACACACAAATTAAAAATAAGTAGATACACACTTATATCACCCGCTATTTGGGGATAACGTTAACGTTAACATATCATGTTCCAGGATACGTTTTCAGTTGATAACAACAAATACATATTTTTATGGATATTCCAAATACAACTGATAGAATTCCGATGTCCTGGAGATAAACTCCTAAACGCGTTACCAATGGCGTCATGACAAATACAATTTTACTTACAGAAAAAGAGAAGTTGGGTGGTAGAAGCCATATTGTCCGCAGCCCTCGGACACGCGGCTTCGGATGTGACTGTGTCGTCTTCAACAATACCAGATCTAAATTGACCCCACCCATCGTGACCTTCGAGATCGCGACATCTCCACTCGAATTACTTTTAACTGTTAATAATATTTTTTACCGCACAAACGGTATTGATCCTCAGAATCGAAGCATAGTGACCACAGAAACACAGTAATGGACCAAATTTAAAGAAGACTTGTACAAATATCATGTCTTTGCGTCATAAATGTTTTTGCGTCTTTGGTAAAGGAAGTATGAGACCAGCCCTGCGATATCAAATCAGTCGTGAAGCAGTCATTTTATGATTTGGCATTCTGAAAAGGAAGCTTGTAGTTTTTGGTTTATTAGAATGCCAAATCATAAAATGACTGCTTTACGACTGATTTCAGAGCGACCGCCGATGCGAAAACCGCTGTGTGAGTTCGAAAAGTGAGTTACAGAATTGCAGGGCAGGCAGGTATTTACAATACCCTACAATCATTTTACGGGTAAACAAACATCTGAATTGTCGCCGACATGAGTTTATTCCAAGTTTACGTTTAACTATAATATCGTTAAAATGCTAATTGTATAACACAAAACATTATGACCTTCGCAAAGTTGTAAAAAGATTCAAGAGCTATTGATGTGAGTCGTTGTTCGATAGTATTACAAAATTAAAAGATGTAATATACGTTGTTATATATGTTGTAATATACGATACATTTAGTAACGTTTGATAACATAAACGTAATGCGGTTAGAGCCGTTGCGACAGTGCCTCGACGAACTCGTAACAGACTCATTTATTTTTGGTAATTGGTCGTAATATGTTTATGGCATGTTGATGAAATATATTAGAGTAGTTTTATCGTGTTAAAATATTCACGCGTATAAAGCTGTGTTTTTCTTGTGTATTACACGGTTGCTTGCAAAAGAATTATTTTTCGTTGTGAAGGCTCTACAATTCTTACGAACATCACTACACCTCTCCATGAGACCTGAAAGTGCAAGTGAAACAGTCAGATAAATATGATGAATACTTGACCCAGCTATTAATTTATACAGTATATTATGGTTGGTGGGCTAAGTTTCCGCAGTTAGAGGCTCATTAGGTCCGTTGTGCGTATTTTTTTATACACCACATCATTTATAATGCATTTTCTACATTATAAGTTGCAATCTATCTATTCTAAAATACATGACAACCCGATAGGCGCTTAACAACGCTTTTATTAAAATTGATACACCGTGTACATTGCCATATTTATCAAGCTATATTAGTAGCGTATGTGCTGTTGTATTCGCCAATAATTCCAACTGCCTGAACTCCTAGATTTCTCCAAAATCCTTTTACTAACCTATGACTAGAGAAGGTAACATGGGAAATTTTTGCATTCAAATCGAATATTTTATATGGATGATCACCATAGAAATTTATTTAGCATGTTTTGTGTGCCTTGTTCGTGTGTTCGAGACCCGTCTATGGTACACTTGATTCTATGTCTAAGCGCATATTAGCCTTCTAATACAGTGTCAGAAAATACCGTTAGAGATTACCAGATACGATCCAAAACATATAGTAGGTATACATATAGGATTGTATCTCATTCTACATTTCGTTTTAAGCATAATTTTCAGCTTCAAACATCAAAGCTGACGCAGGACTTTTCCCTGATGTTATTTGATGATCCTAGATGTTTTTACTACGTGCTAACAACGCTTAGGAGTTATAATTTATAAAAACAACGAAATTGTAATGATTATTTATATTATTCAAAACACAGCGGTGTATATACTTTGTATCATTTACACAATACGCCTACGGCTTTACGAAACGACTTGGATCAAGTAGTCAAATAACAATGTTTTAACCTTTATTAGATAACTTGTTTTATTTCATCTGCGTCACGTGTTAAAGAATAATGCTAAATACTTTTTTTAATTACCTAAACCTAGTTCAGCCATATGTTCTGTTACAAATAAAAATGCATTTGTTATTTATTAACACTCCGTTTCATTAACATAATAAAAAATTAACATAATTAAATGAAAAGGAGGGCAACTGGCGTGCCTTATCGCTTGCAAGCGATATCTTCCAGGCAACCACTGTGAAAAAAATGTATTAAATTAGATAAGGTAAGCAAGAAGTGCAAAAATACGGAATACATGTTATAGTTATTAAGACTAAACTAAACTAAAAAAGGATACATGAAAAATAAGAAGTGCACATGAATCATGATAATTTTACATCAGTCTCACGTCAGTTAGTAGTTAGTACGAAATTTAGGGAAACGATGTTGACAGATAATATTTGCACAATAGAAAGTTAAAGGAAGATAGAGAAGGAGCTAAGCGAATAGGGACGGGAAGTGAGTTGCATAGCCTAACTGCAGAGACCTTAAAGAATTCGCCAAGAAAGGAGGAGTTATGAGATGGGATTTCAAGGATATTGTTTTCGGAAGAGCGTAAGCTATACTTATGGGCTCCCAAAAATTTGAAATTTGAAATTTTCTTAGCCCACAGTAATAATAAAAGTAATTAAAAATTAATCAAAAGACGATTAAAACCAATTTAAAAAGTTTGGTCCCTGTAGCCTTTAACGCTGGCATCATTTCCTCGCTGTATTGTGATACTTATTCATTAAACGAGGAAAGCACCAACTCTGAGGTCACCGGTACTACCTACCAGGCGCCAACTTAAATCTTTAATTAGCGCCTGTGCACTTGAACCCCACGGCCCTAGAGTCTCTACTCCAAAGGGGAAAAAATGAAGTTGGAGAAAAGACTTATATTTAAGCCGTTTATTATTTTCCACCTGCCGCCTTTTTGCTTGTCCGAAGGAGGTGAGACGAGGCAAACGTCTCCACACAAGTAGCATCCCATACCAAAGCTCGTCTCATCTTCCAAGGGATCAATGACATCCCATCCGGACGCTTGCCATCGTCTCTAGCGATGTCTGTTGGCTCCAAAATGACTGGAACATTGACGGAGGACAAGGCCACTAAACTAGTTTAGAACAATTCTGTTTTTGGCATATTAATAAAAACTTTGAGTAGTTTTATTGTGATATTAAATTTACATATTTAAAGGTTATCTTCGCGTGACATTAGAATTAAAAGTAACGATGTAAACTTGTTTTAAAATATTCACACGTAGAAAGCTTAGCGAAGCTTAGGGTGGGAACTGACCAACGTTACGAGGTGTAATGTAACATGTTACACAGCGAGTATTCGTGCAGTCAGTACGTCGTGTTACGGGGAAACTCGGCTTTTTTAGGCGTCGGGACGTGACGACCCCATCGCCCACTGGTGAAATAACCTGTGACAGAGGTTATTTCATCAGCGCAATCAGTCAACCCCTTCCTAGTGGGAGTGCCATGCTGTTGCCTTCGGGCTTCAGCCAAATGGGCAGGCACGACCGGGGCAGTACCACTGTCTCTCAGAAAACCGGCGTGAAGTGATGCAAAAGGTTCGCCTTCTTGTACTCGCGTTTCGTGCGGTGAGAGAGATTCCCGGAGCCCATCCCCCCCCCACACACACAAGAAATATGAAGGTGCAGAAAAAACAGAATCTACCCCAGGGGGGTACCACACGCGCTCGCGGTGGAGAATCCCCCTCTGGGCGTCCACCACCGGGACACTCAGCACCCGGTGGTGGACGCACAGGCTGCCCTTCGTATTCTGGGGGGGCAATTCTGCGCTCTACAAAAATAGTAATCGTCCTCGGGGCAAACGGAGCAATTATACAAAGGCACCCCCGTCCACACTCGCCGTGGACTTCACAAATGTTAGGGGGCTTAATTCTAACATCAACGCTGTCCACTATCATCTAGAGACTGCGAAGCCGGCCTTGCTCTTTCTTACCGAGACTCAGATATCCTCCCCGGCTGATACTTCCCACCTATCCTACCCGGGGTACAAATTGGAACATTCATTTGTGCCGCGGGCTGGAGTTTGCGTGTACGTCAGAGAGGATATCTGTTCTCGTCGCCTCGGGACGCTTGAAGGAAGGGACCTATCTAACCTCTGGCTGCGCGTAGACTGCGATGACCATCCGCGATTCTACGCATGCCTGTATAGGTCCCATAGCGGAAATACCGAAACTGACCGACTCATTGAGCACATCCAAATGGCTACAGATTCCCTGCTCGAAAGGGTTCCTACCGCTGAAATCGTGATACTTGGCGATTTTAACGCCCACCATGCCGATTGGCTCGGCTCTGAAACCACCGATCACGCGGGAAGATCCTTTCACGACTTTGCTTTAGCCTACGACCTGACACAAATGGTCCCTGCGATTACGCGAATACCAGATGTGGATGGTCATAAACCCTCTTTGTTGGACCTTCTGCTGACTTCTCATCCGGAGAACTATCAAGTCTCTGTTGACCCGCCATTGGGTTCATCAGATCATTGTGTGGTCCGGAGTACTGTGCCATCTACGCGCCCTTCACGGCCCCGCTTTATGGGTTGTCGCCGTATTTGGCACTATAAGTCAGCAGATTGGGACGGGATGCGGTCTTTCTTTGCGTCCTACCCTTGGGGGCCTATGTGCTTTTCGCCGGAAGCTCCAGATTCCGTCGCCGCCTCTGTCGCCGAAGTGGTTCTGCAGGGCATGGAACTCTTTATTCCATTTTCTGCGGTGCCGATCGGTGGCAAGTCTCAGCCCTGGTTTAAACGTTCTTGCAAGGCGGCCTCGCGTCGAAAGCGAGAATGCTTTAAGGCATGGGCGGAAGCGGCGAAATCTTGTGATGCCAATACCAGCGAACTTAAAAAGCATATAACTCAGCCTCCAGGTCCTTCAAACGGGAAATCACTAAGGCAAAGTCAGAGCACATTGCCAGATTTGGCGAGAGATTGGCCCAACTCCCATCAGGGACTCGAGCCTTCTGGTCTCTCGCCAAAGCTGTCCAAGGGAATTTTTGTCAGCCCGCCATTCCGCCACTGCACAGGGAGGATGACTCTCTGGCCCACACTGCGAAGGAGAAGGCTGACCTTTTGGGCTGTCTCTTCGCGTCTAACTCGACTTTGGATGACCGAGGGAGATCACCACCGACCATTTCGCGGTGTGATTCT